TTCCCAATTTTGAACCAGTCTGTTGTTCCATCTCCAGTTATAACTGTTGCTTCTTGACCTGCATTTGGGTTTCTCAGGGGGCAGATAAGGTGGTCCAGTATTCCCATTTCTTTCACTTAATTGACTATGCCACAGTCTTTGACTGTGCAGATTACAACAAACTGAGAATAATTCTTAAAAAGAAAATGTTGTTGGAATGCTATCACCTATGGTCAGCTAACCCACTCCATATTGTGCCCTACAAGAGGTCTCAGAGGACACAGAAACACACTGGTGAGGAGAGTGTCAGCATCCTTGAAAAGCACTGCAGTGGCCATGCTTTATGCCTGGATAAAGGTGAGAGGTGCTGCCACAGAAACTGGCTTCCTGAGTTCAAAGGCAGTGATGAGATTCTGCTGTGGCAGAGGCCAAGTAGCAGTGCTCACTGCCAGAGGCAAGGTAAGCATGGTTTCTGTAATAGACACAAGCCTGGAATGGTAATCAGAATGGTTTAACCCACAGGGACTCTTGGTAGTGACAAATTGCTCATGGTATCCAAACTCCAAAACCTATGGGAATCTCAGTAACACCTATATGTTCATGCTCCAATTTCCTCTTTCCCTGCATGATCTTATTACTTCAATTTCCATTCTTTCTAACTCTTAAATGTATACTTTCAATTCATACTTCCCTTTTGAATAAGAAGAAAGTTAAGGGGACCACTCAGGGCATTTGACATGTTTCTGCATTTGAGGAAATACAAGGAAAACCATGCCTGAAAAAGTCTATAAATACCAAGAGGCTGTGCTGGAGATGCTCAAGCCCATGGCAGAACTAGACAAGGGAGGTAATGCTGGAAATGAGCTGCATGTCTTCAGATGCTGGGTCAGTAATGCCTGTCTCCTCAGAACAAAAACAGATCCTTTGTACTTTCTTGTGTATTTTTTTCCCTTGTGTATTTTTAAAGGGCTCCAAACTCAGGGAGAATAAAAAAGACACCAGCAGAGAAATTTTAGATGGTACAGGAAGACAGGCATTGAATCCACCAAGAGTTGCAGTCAAGATCTCAACAGAAGGATCTCTGAAAACACACATGGAAAAATCCATGCAGTAAAGAGCCAAAAATTGCAATTTCTTTGTCCTAATGGAACCAAACCCTCCCTGTGGGACTGTGTTCTTTACCCTATCTCTCCTTCCCCTGAGCCTTACTCTGGAAGAAAGGTAAAAGGATAATCATGTTCTCTTCACCACTGTTGGTTTCCAGGCCTGGGTCATGTGAAATAGGGTAAGGAAAATGTTTCATAAAGTTGGAATTCATACAATGAACTGAAATGTTTAATAATTGAAATGGAATGCCCTTGTAACTATGAAGGACTGGGAAATTAATGGAGCTTGCTCAAGATTTTATGGGGATGGGAATAACAGACACACATAGTAAGTTTAACACAGACTAGTGAGAAAAAATAACATTTGGGTTCAGCATGGTCAGTAAGTCAGTTCCACCTGTTAGAAACTGAATCATTTCAGTTGAAATAGTGTAAGCAGATTTCTTTTTTCTAAGAGAGACAAAGAAAGGGAAGCTCTGTATTTAATACTTCGTGCCAAAGAGTCACATTCAGTCCTTGTCTTGAGTCTCCTTTTGAAGATTCAGATGCCCTACCTTATGATACCAGTGCAGGTGTAGTCGCTGTTTTTCCCAACACAACAAAAGTCCAAGTACCTGAAACAAACAACAACAAAAAAAAAAACAGAGGAGAATAATTTGAAATGAAATCACCACGATGCTGCCCAAAACACTGCTGTCAACTCAACATTCCTTTCAGTCCAGCATTACATTCACTTCTCACTACACCTGCTCTTTTCAGCATCAAGGGTTTGTCACACTATTCCTCTCCCTAAAAAACTCTCCCCCTTCCATGCCACCAACCCTTCAAACAATGCTCCATGTCACCACCTACTTGTAACTTTCACCAACAACCCAGAGAGAGTTTATTATCTTCTCTGCAAATTTGTAACAATCACCACACTGATATTCTTCCAGAATTCCTACCAACTTCATTTCCCTGTGCAGGAGCTTATTCCTAGTATTACACAGAGCTAGTAAGAAGAGATCAGGAGTGAGGGGCCAGCTCTTTGATAGTCTCATTGAATTTCCTTAAATTTTGCTTCCTCTTCTCATCTAATCAAGTTTCTCCTATAAATGTGCCAACGATAAAATAATAATACTGAAATGTTAAAAAAAAAAAAAGCTCTTCTTTGAGGAACCAGTGCCATTGTTACAATTGTTAACCACTGGTGTTAATGTTGGTATTAGTCAATAAATCTTAATTAGATTTGAATCCAAGTCTATGCAATCATCAAGTCAGTGGAGATGGAGACTAAAAACTGGAGTCTTTAGATGCTAAGGATATTGAAGAGAGTTTGAGTGCATAAGGAACTCACCTTTTTATCAAAATAATTTTATGGATATGATTTTATTTGTACTTTACCAACGTACAATACAGGTGAGCTGGTTAGCCTATGGAGTATGGTTCTTGCCTCCGGCATGAGAGGTCCTGAGTTCAGGTCCCAGACAAGACCTTGGGCTTCCCTAGTGGCTCAAGACAGTAAAGAACCTGCCTGCAATGTGGGAGACCTGGGTTCAATCCCTGGGCTGGGAAGAGGCCCTGGAAGAGGACAAGGCAATACACTCCAGTATTCTTGCCTGGAGAATCCCAATGGACAGAGGTGCCTGGAGGGCTATAGTCCATGAGGTTGCAAAGAGTTGGACATAACTAAACAACTAACACTTCCATTTTAGGCCCTATAAAATACCACTTCATTAAATATCATTATCAATTGAAGGAAAAGAAACTGAGAATTAGAAGAGTTATGCGACTTTGTTAAGGTTACAAATAACTGAAAGATAAAGAAATGGAAACCTGGTCTTCTCTGTTGCTGCCACTATATCCAAAAAGAGGTAGGATAGAGTAGAAGCTTGTCAAAATACATGACTTACTAGACACTGCAAGTCCATCTTAGAAGTTACCTATACCATTTTATGTTTATTGTGTATGAAGTACAGTTTGGTGGACACATTCTTGCCCCAAGAACATCATTCATCTGCATCTTCCTCATTAAAAACTAATCTCTGTCTACATTTACTCTCCATGCAAAGACTTCCAGAATAATTATCCTAACTAGAAATCTGATTTATGCTAAATGTCTTGGCCTATTTTTCAGGCCTTGCAAAATCTTTGAAAATCCTATCGCTTTATCCATATTCCACATTATTCTTCATTATACCTTATATGTTAACAGTACTGATTTCTTCTCGAGAAGGAAATGGCAACCTACTCCAGTATTCTTGCCTAGAGAATCCTATGGACAAAGGAGCCTGGCAGGCTACAGTCCATGGGGTTGCAAGAGTGGGACACAACTTAGCGACTAAACCACCACCATCACTGATTCTTCCTTCTTATCTAGTCAAACTCTATGTATGTCTGTCTTACTGACTTTGTCATGATATCCCCATGTTCTGGAACTTTTTTCCTCCATCCCCATAAACACGTCTAAATGTAACATCCCTTCAAGATCCCCCTCCTGTGCCACCTCTTCCAAGAAGCCTCACTTAATCTTCCTGGCTGGAAGTTAACTCTTCCTTCTCAGTACCCAGGTAGAACTTTATTTAGGACCCTCTAATGACAATTATAATGCTCTGTGTTCCTTACTTTTGTCTATGTCCTAATTCCCTACTAGATTCTACACTCATTGAATTAAGGACAACTGTAACTTTATTTCTCATACTTATCTCTGAAGTGCCCTGGATGAAAACAGAAACCAAACGTCTTTGATCTCTGTAACCTAAGTACTTATCACTCATATATTTTGCTGAAAGAAAAATTAATACAAATTTCAACTGATGTGAGGGTTGAGTTCTTTAGTATCAAGGAAGAAATCAATGGAGACAAGAAATTATAAAACCGGACAAAGGAATACATGTCCTATGTGTAAGTGGGCACTGAAAAACTCTAGTTACCTAAAAGTTAGTCTCCCATAAGCTTTCCAGTTCTGAAGACTCCTCTGCTGCCTGGCCTACATTTCTCAAACTACATGACACTACTCTGTCTGGTGTGAATTTTCCACACTACACAACACTACTATGTCAGGAAACAGGCAGGGTCTCTATTATCTATTACCTAAACACATTTGCTAAAATGTAATTTGCACCTGGATTAGGGGATTAGCATTTGCACAGCAGAACAGGTTTAACTCACTAGATAACTTCTAAAGCCCAGAAAGACTGATCCTCAAGAGATGAGCTATGAAATGAGTAGTTTAATAAGTAAGTGTATTGCCATGTGAAGACGCAGGTGTCTAAAATGACAACACGGAAAGAATCAGAAAATAAGCCATGAAACATAGGAAGAGAAAAAGGATGTTCTGCCACCCTTTCAAAGGATCAAAGTGAAAAGACACACCCTCTAACAGCACAAGCCTTTTTACCCCTCTATCCCTCCTGCCTAATATTTAAGTGTCTGATGAAAACCCAGACTCTGCTAAGAGTGATCTGAGGGCTCCCAGCACCAACTGGGAACCATACCACAGACAAAGCACCTCATTAGGCTACTCAGGAAGGGAGTGGGAGAAATGGGAAATATTACTCACCAGTAGCAATGTTGTGTAGGTAGCCAGGATCCCAAGGAAACTCAGCAAGACAAGGGACCAAAAGAACCAGACTCCTGTACCTAGGAATATAACCCTGCAAAAATGTGTTTCAATTTCTAAAATAAAGAAGTTAGTAGTATCTCTGTCAAGTATAGGGGATAAGACTGGACTAGATGAGGCATAAGAAAACAGGGGAATAAGAAGAGGAGCAATTTGGGAACAGTTATCCTTTGCAGGTATTTAGCTGAGAAGTTTTAATTTTGCTCTACAGACAATCAGGTACATTAATAGGATTCTGTACAACTTGTATGCTTTTTAAAGTGATTTAGAATAAAGACTCAAAAAATATATATACTCTTTAAACAACAATAAAATGCAGAAATTATGGAATGTCAAAAGAGAAGAAGTCGTCCTTAAGTTCACTGCCTTCATATAGCTAATACATGCCAATTTGGCAGATTCCTCCTCCTTATGAATATGTTCTCTTACATAATAACAAGCCACTATATTAACATCTATACCCTGTGTGAGCGATTTGTAGTCCTCCTTGTTCCTAAAGTAGTTTAAAAGTTAAAACTGCTAATAAAGTGATTTAAGTTAAACAATGTTATAATTATTATAAATATTATATACGTCATAGAATTTATATTCTTCATTTCAAGATAACAGAAATTATTTCCTCTCCTCATGAGACCTAGAGAAATTACGTTTTAATGATACAAAATATAGATTATTGAACATATTACTACATTAAATATAAGAAAAAATTCTCTTTAGTCAGGGGTGAGAAGACATACCAAGAGAAAAAGTTAGACAAGCAGTCAACCTAGCAAGGCTGATCCCAGATCAAGACACTGGGAAGAGTATCCTGTAAAACATAATCTCACAGCCAGGAATCAGAAAATGTGTAAGTGATGTTAACAAATTAACCTAATAATGCCAACTAATACAATAACTTGCAAAAAATATAATTAAGATAACAATCAGAAAAGAACAATAAAAAATATATTCAAGATCTTCAGAGAGATAAAGGACTCATATCCACATAACAAGAATAGAATGTTTATATGCAAGCAGAATAATGATCAAAAAATGAAATACAGGGGGGAAAAACACGTAGGATAGACATAAAGCAGCCTAAAGACAGCCAAAGAATTAATTACACGACTTATCCAGCAGCAAAATTGACTTTATATTCCAAATGAGAAAGAAAAGTTTGGTTTTGCCTTCAATGGGACCTCTATCTTTTCTAATAATTTCTCTAGCCACATTATTTTCTCCCCTCATCAACATAATGGCCTTCTTATCTATTTTCACTCACATGTAAATATTTAATATTAGGTCACTTCCAAATTCTCCCACCAAACAGGTGAAGGTCCCATCTACTTGCTGAGTACTGCTGGCAAAGGAAAAATTGTGGGAGACCTGCAATGTGGAAGATCTGGGTTCAATCCCTGGGTTGAGAAGATCCCCTGGAGAAGGGCATGGCAACCCACTCCAATATTCTTGCCTGGAGGATCCCATGGACAGAGGAGCCTGGCGGGTTAGAGTCCACGGGGTCACAAAGAGTTGGACTGAGTGACAAAGCACAGAGAACTACTAAAAAGAGAACCAATTAAGAATTCTACAAAGGAAAATACAGCAACAAAAATTAAGAATGCAGTGAACAAATTTAATAGCAGGTAAAACACAGTCAAAATAATTTGCTTAGCAAAAAACCAAGTCAGGAGACAAATATCAAGAAGGAAACAGAGACACACAAAAAACATGAAAAGTACAGAAGAAATGATATGACACGGGAAGAAGAGAAAAAGCCTAACACACATGAAACTAAAGTTTCAAAAGGAGAGGCAGCAGAAAATGGGATGAAGGCTTTGCTGGGGGCTCAGTGGTAAAGATCCACCTGCCAACGCAGAAGACACAGGTTCAACCCTTTATCCGGGAAGATCCCACAGGCTAAGCCCATGAGCCACACTATTGAGCCCACATGCTGCAACTACTAAAGCCCACACATCCTAGAGTCTATGTTCCACAATAGAGAAGCCACCGCAATGAGAAGTCCGTGCACTGGAACTAGAGAATAGCCCCTGCTCATCACAACTAGAAAAAAACCCACATACAGCAACAGAGACTCAACAGAGCCAAAAATAAATAAGCAGATACTTTAAAAATAGTTTAAAAAATGAAAGATAAAGCCTAAGAATTTTCAAAATGATTAAAAATATTGGATTGGTCTGGGATGATTCAGAGAAGTATTCACTGTTGGGATTAGACCTTATGCTATCACAGAAAATGCTAGAGAAGGTTGTTACATCTGCTCTGATAGTTGATCACTGGATGATGTTTATGCCTCTAATTTAAGTACTAGCATATAAGGTTAACTACTAGTCACATATCTTATGTTCAATGACAGAGAAATGAGATAAGCAAAAATTCATATATATATATCCTTACATATTATATATATTACAAACATACATTTTATTCATATATATATCATTTAAATACACATATATGTGTGTATATATACACACATATATCTGTATGTTGTTGTTCAGTCTCTAAGTGATGTCCAACTCTTTGTGACCCCAAGGACTGCAACACGCCAGGCCTCTCTATCCTTCACTATCTCCTGGAGTTTGCCCAAGTTCATGTCCACTGAATTGGTGATGTCATCCAACCATCTTATCCTCTTGTTGCCCTCTTCTTCTGCCTTCAATCTTTCCCTGCATCAGGGTCTGGGAAATATATATATATATATATATATTATACATAATATATATATTTGTCCTCTGGTGTCACTAGTGATGATGTTGTGTTAGACTCTAAGAGGAACATTTTCAGTTAAGGTTACTATTCAGCTGCCTTTAAAGTAGGGAGATTATTCTGGATTATCAGATTGAATCCAGTGTAGTCACATGAGCTCTTAAAATAAGTAAAGAAGGCAGAAAAGGAAGTCAGAGACATGAGAATGGAGAAATCAGAGAAATTTGAAGCATAAGAAGGAGTTGAAACACCACTGTTAGATTTGAAGATAGAGAAGGTCACAAGCTAGAAGCTGAGAACAACTCCCATCTGACAATCACTAATGAATGAGCACTTCATTTCAACAACCAGAAGAAACTGGATTCTGCCAACAACTTAAACAAACCTGGAAGTGAGTCTCACTCAGAGCCCCAGTTAAAAGGCCCGGGCCGGTTAGGCCCTTTGGGTCCCCGGTTCTTCTTTCCTTTTTGCCCACCAAACTTGGGTTAGGAATTGTATTCTTTGGTGTCACTCAATTTGTGGTAATTTGCCATGGCAGCCATGGAACTACCTATGAAACCTACTGTGGCTTTAGGATCAGGGGGAGCTCACTCTTATATTTACACATTCTATTTGATGATGGAGTATTGCTGTGGGGATTCTGAATGATTTTGAGTATGTTTATTGGAGTATACATTCCAGAACTAAAAAAATAATGATAGGGTGGTCTACGGACCCACTATGCCCAGTGAAGATATGGGTCTGAACCAGAATTCTATCAACTACCTAATATACTCAAAAGATCCTACTCTTACTAAGGAATCATAGCAGCATTTTATATCTCCAGTTATACATTTCAGAAAGTTCACAGTCAGTGTCCAGGAATCCCATAAAAGTATTTCTTCTTCCCCAATGACAAGAAATCTGGTAAATTATTAAAAGTTCTTCTAGGAGAAAACTAGGAGTAAGATTGATACCATACAGTTCTGGCTGCGCAGCAATGTCTTTCACCTTCTGTCAATGCCTTTGCTCCATTCAAGGGCCAATTTACTTGGTAAATAAGTGAAATAAAGAACAGGAAAACAATGACAAAATCAACAAAACTAAAATTTAGTTTTTCAAAAAGATAAGCAAAATGACAAACCTTCACAAGACTAACCAAAAGAAACGCCCAAAACAACAACAGCAACAAAACAGCCCTAAACAGACCCAAGAATCAAGATTGCTGGGGAAAATATCAACAACCTCACATACGCAGATGACACCACTTTAATGGCAAAAAGTGAAGAGGAACTAAAGAGTCTCTTGATGAAGGCAAAAGAGGAGAGTGAAAAAGCTGGTTTAAAACACAACATTCAAAAAATGAAGATCATGGCATCTGGTCTTATCACTTCTTGGCAAATAGATGGGGAAAATGTGGAAATTAGTGTCAGATTTCATTTCCTGGGTTCCAAAATCAATGTGGATGGTGACTGCAGCCATGAAATTAAAAGATGCTAGCTTCTTGGAAGAATTGCTATGACAAACCTAGACAGTATATTAAAAAGCAGAGATACCACTTCGCCGACAAAGGTCCATATACTCAAAGCTAGGGTTTTTCTAGTAGTCATGTATAGATATGAGAGTTGGACAATAAAGAAGGCTGAGCACTGAAGAATTGACTCTTTTGAACTGTGGTGTTGGAGAAGAATCTTGAGAGTCCCCTGGACAACAAGGAGTTCAAACCTGAATATTCATTGGAAGGATTTATACTGAAACTCCAATACTTTGGTGACCTGATGCGAAGAGCCAACTCATTGGAAAAGACTCTGATGCTGGGAAAGATTAAGAGTAGGAGGAGAACTGGGTGACAGGGGATGAGATGGTTGGATGGTATCACTGACTCAATGGACATGAGTTTGAGCCAACTCTGAGATATAGTGAAGGACAGGGAATCCTGGCATGCTGCAGTCCATGGGGTCACAAAGAATCAGACATGACTTAGCGACTGAACAAAAACAATAAATTACATTTCTAAAAAGCCTCATACTTAAACAGACCCCTTTCCCCATCAAACACCAAATAATGGGTAAGATATATAACAATCAAGGCTAGAGAAGCTGGAAAAACTAAGAGTTGTCTTGGAGTAAGAGTTTGGCCAGAAGGGTACTCAGATCACACATCATACCTGTCTTTAGAGTTTCAGGAAGCCCTGTAAGGACAGAGAAAGAGTAAGAGGCTGGAGGTGAAACAGATATCAGGGTTCATGGACAGAGATCATGAAGACCAACTAGTGTAGGCATCAGTAACCCAGATCAAGAAGTTGAGGAACAAGGTATCAGGGAGTCATCTGAATAGAAGGACTGGGGACACCGGAAGCACACAGAAAGCTTCCCCCTGAGCCAGATTTGGTCTAAAAGTGAGAGTGAGCACAGGTGGAAGGGAAGTATAGTAGCTGAGAGTGCTGAGCATGCTTATGCTTCCCCAGAGTCAGGCCTCCCATCCACCAGATGCAGAAAATCCAACTTTGTCCACCCTCCCTCTTATGTAAGCAGATTTTTTCAGCCTGAAGTAAGATCCATGTGGTAATTATACCAAAGAGCCCTTACACAAACGAAAATACAAAAAGTGAAACTCACCAGTCAAAGCCATTGTATTCATTTGAAGATTCTATCCACGTGAAAAGTAAAAACACAGACAAGCAAAATGACGTAATCAGCCACGGGTAAAATAATCGCTCTCTCTGGGAAGAGACAGAAGGAAATCTCATTTAACTCCATTTACTTATGGTACTTCTGCAACATCTGTTTATACTCCCCAAAGGTCTACATAGTTACAGTGCAGCATTACCCTCCCCTGACTGGAGAGACCACTGTATTCTTTTAACCCTATGGAATTTTGCAAAACTTTATTTATAACATTATCCTGAACTAGAGTTGTGTGTTTATATGTTTATATCTGATGTCACAGTTTCTGCTTTGATGAAAAGGAACTTTCATTACACTTCTATGTATTTCCAATCATGGTCTCTTAACAATCATCTGTTAAATTCATCTACCTCTCCATGTACCAAACATATGTTCATTCACTGAGTAATTCATTCATTAATTATTCATCAGTTCCCTAATGAATAGTCACTTATCTACCCACATTTGGGGGAGAAGAGCATTAGATTAGGGAATAAGTCTTTTTTTTTTTTTTTCCAGTAGCTATTTTGTACCAGTAGCTATAATGCTAGGGACTTTACAAATTACTTACATTTAATTCTCATATATGAGTTATACGAGTTAGGTATTGTTAATCTCATTTGGTAGAAGAATTAAAACTCAGAGAGGTTAGGTTAAATGACTCAAGGTCACACAACCAAGCAGGGAAACAGCCTGGATCTGTGAGCTCAAAACCAAGATGGAAATGATCTTTCTGGAAACGTGTACAAACTGAACCTTGAAGACAACCCTTGCACTGAAAATTGTATCACGAACTAGCCGAACAATACACCATCAAACTCTTCCCAGGACTATGACTGTATCACAAAAGTGAGAAATTTTGCCTTGCTGGGACACTGCATCCAAGCTATTAAAAATGTATAGAATAATCCCTGCCCTGTACAAATTATATGGTTATTGTAAGCACTAAGAATAAGGAAACAAAATGGTAAACAGAGTACTCCAAAATGGTGAGAGATATGATAGGTAACAAGGCACTAAACCACCACTTCTGGAGTAGGAATATGAAGAGAACAGGTTTTGACTCGGATTTATACTCACTCTCTACACAAATCATGTGTGGACTTTTAAAAATATGTATCACATAGTCACTGCCCTGCTTATAACCCTCCCAGAGCAGCCCACTCTGTAAGAATATCATCCCAACTGCCTGCCCTGGCCCAAAGGTCCTACATGATCAAGTCTTGCCAATCCCTGACCTCATTCCATTCTACATACTAACTCCATTATTGAACTCCAGACATACCGGTCTTTATGCTTCTAGAACATGATCAGATCTGTTCCCTTGTTGTTCAGTTGCTCAGTCACATCCTACTCTTTGTGACTCCTTGGACTGCAGTACANTTAAGACAGCTTTTTTACTCTCCTCTTCCACTCTTATCAGGAGGCTCTTTAATTCCTAAGAGTTTCACACTTCCTGGTTCCCCTGCCTGGAATATTTCTGTCCCCATGTGTATACAAGGCTGATTTGATTTTTTAATTTAAGAGATTGTTCACATGACATTGCTTAAAAGCAGTCTTCTCTAACCACGCTCCCATTTTCCGATGTATTATCTTCAAAGTTCTTATCACTATATGAAACCATCTTTCTTCATTACTGTTTATTATCTAACTCATCCCTCTACAATACAAGCCACAGGAAGGCCAGAAGCCTTAGTGGTCTTACTCACTGTGGAGCACATTCAATGAACTTGTTCTTGTTGCATAAACAAATTTCCTTACTTTGATTCTCACTGCTGCCACACTTGCTCAAAAATGTTCAAAGGCTCCCCACTATTTACAGAACAAAGTTCAAACATTTTAACTTGACAAAGATGCCTCAAAATTTGATTAAAACATTCCTTTCTGACCTGATAACTTACCACTTATCACCTTATCTGCTCATAAATTCAACACCAGAAATTCACTTTTCCCTAGACACCACTATACTTCTCTAATTGTGAACTTCTGACCACCTGAATTCCTCCACCCAGAATCCCCTACACCATCATTCCTCTAAGTGGAAGATGACTTCACAAATCAGTGACTCCAAGAACAGCAAAATGATAGCTAACATTTATTGACTGCTAATTGTGTGCTGAGCCCAATTTTAAGTTTCCACATAACGCTTCTCTCCTCACAACAAACCCAACTGGTGGTTACTGTTGCTACCATCTCTATTACTCTAATGAGGAACCAGTCACTGGAATGTTAGGCAACTGGCCCAAGGTCCCACAGTAGGTAAGCTCTAGTTTGGAGATAGTCAGTGAAGAAGCCATAAATTTAATCCAGGCAGTCTTTCCCTAGAACACAAGGAATTTTCTCTTTTGCCACATGCTAGACTCCTTCCCCTGAGCAGAAATAGGGCTTTGAGAATTATCTAAGGACTTTGAGAATTATGTAGTTTAATTCCCTATCTGTAGAGGGGCTCAGAGATAGCACAAAACCAGCCCAAGGGCAGAGATGGAACAAGGACTAAAACGTCTCAGGCCCTGGTTCAGGGATTTTTTCCATTATACCACACTGCCTCTTCCAATGGCATCTTTCCCAGGAAGCCTCCCTTCTTTCACTCTATGTCCTTCTGTATAGCTCTCTTATGACTTACTATATCATCCTTAAGTAATAAATATCTGTTGAATCAATTTGCTCTTCTCTACTTTTGCCATTACTATGCTAATCCAGGACACCATCAGCTTTACCTTGAATATTGCTGTTGCTTTCTCTTTGAAGGCAAAGACATCTCCCTGCATTACCCTTGTACTTTTTATTGCATCTTCCATATGAAACCATTCCAAAACACAGCGTGGGCAACATTAGAAGCTTAAAATCCTTAGGGATTCTCTTTTCCCCCGATCTTAATTTAGGGACTATTTCCTACATGGCAGAAGTCAAATTCTTAAAACCACACAACATCTGTCCCATTCTCTCTCTACACTCACTTCCCATCACTTCTCCATTCATATCCTCCACTCCACCTAAATATACTAAGCCCTTTGACTCCTCCAATATCATTTCTTCTGCCATCCTCCATTCTTTCCCTATCTTTCCCTATCCATTCTTTCTGATCACTTTACACCTTCTAAATAAAGTTATTTTTGACCCATTAAACATGATGCATGACTGTATATGTAGAAATACACACACAGAGAGATGCATACTATATAGCACTTCTCTCAAGGAGAGAATACACACTTTCCCATATCTAAGAAAGTGTGGCCCGTCTCCCTCCCAACTCATATACCAAAGAGCAGCAGCAGAGTGGACGTCTAGCTTTTTTCTTCTGTTGGGCTTCCCATTTGCAACTGTAGCAGCCACTAAGGAAAGTCATATAGCATTCATAGTTGAAGTAGTATTTAATCCAAGAATTAAAGTTCTTCCATCTTCCTGTCTCTTCATTTCCAGTCTCAGTCCTGTTAACATCATCCATGGTTCACCCTTTTGCTGAAATGGTAAATAAAACAGTCAGAATCCAATAGCTTCTTCATGTTTCCTACCCTCACTATTCTATAGAAAAGTCCACCAATAATGGACAGATCTTTCAAAAGATCATAATCTAGGAAGATGAACTGGATTTGATGTAGAAGAGTAGAGCTTCATCCTATCTTTCCTACTAACTAGGTGAGTGTTTATTGCAGATATTGCACCATTCTAAGTTTAGCATTCTCACTGCTAAAATGGTATCATGTTCTCTACCCTAGCTAACTAATAGATGCTAAAAAAATTCAAACTAGATAATATATATGGAATGTGTTATTAAAACAGTAATATGCTCTTGCTGCCAAGTCACTTCAGTCATGTCCGACTCTGTGAGACCCCATAGACGGCAGCCCACCAGGCTCCCCCGTCTCTGGGATTCTCCAGGCAAGAACACTGGAGTGGGTTGCCATTTCCTTCTCCAATGCATGAAAGTGAAAAGTGAAAGTGAAGTCGCTCAGTCGTGTCCGACTCTTAGCGACTCCATGGACCGCAGCCTACCAGGCTCCTCCGCCATGGGATTTTCCAGGCAAGAGTACTGAAGTGGGGTGCCACTGCCTTCTCCAATATGCTCTTGAAAGGAGTACATTAAGGCTGCATATTGTCACCCTGTTTATTTAGTTTATATGCAGAGTACATCATGAGAAATGCCAGGCTGGATGAAACACAAGCTGGAATCAAGACTGCCAGAAGAAATATGAACAACCTCAGATATGCAGATGATACCATTCTAATAGCAGAAAGTTAAGAGAAACTAAAGAGCCTCTTGATGAAGGTGAAAGAGGAGACTGAAAACACTGGCTTGAAACTCAACAGTCAGGAAACTAAAATCATGGCACCGAGTCCCATCACTTCATGGCAAAAAGAAGGGGGAAAAGTGGAAATGGTGACAGATTTTATTTTCTTGATTGGATGGCATCACCGACTCAATGGACATGAGTTGAGCCAACTCCAGGAGATAGTGAAGGACAGAGAAGACTCGCATGCTGCAGTCCATGGAGTCACAAAGAATTGGACACAACATAGCAACTGAAAAACAACAATAATGACCGTGATATAACCTAAGATCTTAGAGACATGGTTGAAGTATATGAAAAAATACCATCCTTGACTAATGAGCTACTGAGACACACAAGTGTCTGCCCCTTGTTTTTCCTCCCACATGTGGCTTTTCTAGAGTTAGCTTCAATTAAGATTTATGGAATATTCTGAACAGCAATGGCTGAAATAAGTTTATTTTTGCTTTTGCCAACAAAAAAATTTCAAAGGTTTAAGGAAGAAATTATGTGGTATGTTGCTTTACAATGTCATTAGAACCCAGACATCTTTCAGTTTGCTCTTCCACTACAACACATGGCTCCTCAGGGTACAAAATGGCTGCTCAAAGTGTATCTATCATTCCAAATTCCAACTATCAACAAAAAGAAAAGAACAAAGAAGGGTGCTTCCCCTTATTTTAAGGACATTTCAAGAAGTTGGGGATGACATTTCACTAACAAGGGCTTTCTTACAAGCAAAATAACAATAACTAGATATTAAGGACATCTTGACATCAATACTGCATTTTCTCATCCTTCTGTGCTCAGATAAGGCTCTCAGACATATGAACTTTCAAAGAATGTATGGATTTGGGGGAAAATTTTAATGAAATGTGGCTTCCCTGGTGGCTCATATGGTAAAGTGTCTGCCTGCAATGTAGGAGATCCGGGTTTGATCCCTGGGTTGGGAAGACTGCCTGGAGAAGGAAAAGGCAACCCACTCCAATACTCTTGCCTGAATAATTCCATGGACAGAGGAGCCTGGTTAGGCTACAGTCCATGTGGTTGCAAAGAGTTGGACATGACTGAGCAACTTCATTTTCACTTTCTTTTAATGAAACAAAAATAGTCTTAGAGATTATCCCAGGCAATTATCTCTGCCCGTGGAAACTTTGTTGTGCTCCATTTTGTTTTTTTGGAAAGGCACTCCAGTGTTGTAGCAAAAAGCAAATAGTCTGAATGTCCACTTCAGGTTAAAATGAAGTAAGAGGGCCTAGGGTAATACTTTCACATTAAGTGTTTTAAAAACTAGGCAAAATATGTAACAAAAGGTTTCACATAGTGCATAGTAGACAGTGAAGGATAGCAATCCTTGAGAGGGGAAACAGGAAGTGAGTGTTTTAATGCTCCATTTACAATCTCTATTGAGCTTCCAGGATGAAGCACAAGGTGTGAGAATACAGTGAAGCCTGGCAACATGCCAGAAATGAGCAGAAAGAAATGGGAATTGGGGAAAATAAGGGTACCTCCTGGGTCTCTCCAGTGTCTCTGACTGTATACTAATCAATGCACACTTGCAAAGAAATTACCTGAGGACAGGGAGAGAACTGCATAAAAGGAGGTGAGGAGACAATCTCCAAAGGGTCACAGTACCAACTCGGAGAAGAGCTGGTATTTCCAACAGAGCAGCAAAACCTTGTAATACACCTATAGCACCATGTAGCATACTCAGATGGGTATTGCCTGGGTGGTGGGGAAAAAATTAAGCCTACATTAAAGGCTTCTATGGTCTAACCAGACAAACTTAAAGGTAAGTTTCAAAATAATGAAAATATTATTTCCAGGTTACATAAGTTATAGAACAGATCAAGAATACTTTTTTAACATAAAAAGCAGCCAACAAAGCAAAATTCACAATGCCTAGCACCCAATGAAAATTATCAGGATTTTTCCTGATAGAGGCCTCCATGCTGGCTCAGTGTAAAGAATCCACCTGCTATTGCAGGAGATATGAGTTTGATCCCTGAACCAGGAAGATCCCACATGCCATTGGCAACTAAGCCTGTGTACCACTATTGAACCAGTGCTCTAGAGCCCAGGAGCCACAAGCGCTGAAGCCCAATCTGCAGTCCATTCTTTTGCAGCAAGAGAGGCCACCACACACACACACACACACACACACACACACACACACACAAAGGAGAGAAAGAGAGAAACCATCACAATGAGAAACCTACACACTGCAACTAGAGAGTAGCTTGCTAGAGAAAAGCCCAGGCAGCAACAAAGCTCCAGTAGAGCCAAAAATAAATACATAATTTTTAAAAAAAAAAGCAAAAATTCACAATCCCTAAATAAGAAAAAAATCAATCAACAACAACAACTCAGAAACGTCTCAAATGACAGACTTAGTAGGCAAGGACATTAAAATGTCATTACAATTGTATCCCATGTTCAAGACAGCAGAAGAAGGTGTATATTTGAAGGAAATACATGATTTTTTTTTTGCAAACATCAACAAGTGTTATTTATTTCACTGATATTTATAATACTTATTCTTTGCAAAATAGTTCTTTAAAAAGATGTAGACTGAACTTCTAGAAATGAAAGATGTAACATGTGAGACAAAAAATACACTGCTAAGATTAAGAGGAGACTGTAGAAAAAAAGATTAGAAACTTGAGAATTTGAAAAAAAGAAGAGAAACTGTGACTTGCAGAACAACTTTAGCATTCTAATATAAATGTGACTGGAGTTGCTGAAAGAGAGGAGGGGACAAAGTAAGGAACAAAAAATATTTGAACAAATTACTATCTTCCAAAGTTGAAAAAATTATAAACCCACAGACCAAGAAGCACCACAAACCCCATAGAAAAGGCACATACAAAAAATAAAACACATCCTAATCAAGATGCTTAAAAACATTGATAAAAAGAAAATCTCAAAGAATGACTCTTGTACATACTTTCAAAAAAATGAGTTCTCTTTAAAAAAAAAAATGTGAAGCCAGAGAACAGTAGAGTAACATCTTTAAAGAACTGAAGAAATTATTTTATAAAATGTTAAAACAGAATTTAGCACTCTGCAAAAAGAGTTCTAAAAAAGATAGTAAAATAAAGATCTTTTCAGCTATCCAAAAGTAGAAAGACAGAACTTCTATTAAAAGAAGCAAAGTCTTAAAGACTTTCAACTAAAATCTTTAAGAAAGACTTCCAGTAGTTAAAGAAAGTCTTTCAGTAAGAATGAAAAAGAAACTAGATGGAAATGCACATTTAAAGAAAGGAATGGGGTGCCCTGGAAGTATTAAATATATAGGTAGTATACAAAAATGATTTTCTTATTTATAAAATCTATTTAGAAGATAACAATGTTTGAAGGACAAGTATAAACAATGAATCCTGCAGCTTAAAACAACTGTAGAAGTAAAGTGTATGACAGTAATACTTCAAAGGCCAGAAGTAAGGAAATGAAAGTGTACTGTTTGTTGTACAGTTCTCTACTACATGTGAAGTGGTATAATACTACTTGAAGGTAGACTTGGATAAGTTAAAGACATACACTATAAACTTCCAAAAGATCTGGCCACCTGATGTGAAGAACTGACTCATTGGAAAAGACCCTTATGCTGGGAAAGACTGAAGGCAAGAGGAGAAGGAATGACAGAAGATGAGATGGTTGCATGGCATACCAACTCAATGGACATGAGTTTGAGCAAGCTTCGGGAGTTAGTGGTGGACAGGGAAGCCTGGCGTGATACAGTCCACAGGGTCGCAAAGAGTCAGACATGACTGCATGACTGAACTGAACTGACATAATATAATAATCCAACAAAGGAGATAAAATTAAGTCATAAATGAAGCAAATACCAAATTTAAACCTCAAAATAATAAATGCCAGATTTAAACCTAAATGTTATCAGTAATGCCATTTAATGTAATGAATTAAAAGCTTCAAATAACAACTGTCTAACTGGATTAAAAGAACAATAATCATATACACTTTAGCAGAGCTTGGTTTGTTGAGATAGGATGTTAAAAAAAAAAACAACATAAAACTTGTGTATGTATCTGTGCTTCATCACCAGGATAATGTCATGTACCAATCAAGGACAAAAACCCCACTCATATACAATCCTAAGAATTTATTGCTTATACATTTGAGTTGACTGACTATTCATGTCAGGGAGTGTTTGATGGGAGGATTCCTACGTGCTGTCTCTCATGAGTCCTTTGTCCCTCTTCAAGCGGAACAGCACGCTGCTCCCAGGGACTGAGGTCATTGTGTGAGGCAGACTTGGGTCTCCTTTAGTAAACATTCTCTTTTTGACAAAATTGCTTAGTCTTGCTCCCCCTTCATGAGATATGGATTGTCTCCTGACCTTGTGACTAGGATTACCCCTTGTTCCCTTGGTAACGGTTACTGTATGTTTGGTTTTCTGATCTCCATCATTCCCGAAAGAAGTTTCTTGTACCACAGCCTGTATATACTCATAGAAAAATCATTAAAGCACCTTTGCTCCATCAGAGCTTAGGTCCCCGGGTCTTTTTTTGTCTCTCTCTCTCTCTCTCTTTTACTTTCTTATCGTCGTCTCTGTACCACCAGGTTCCGGTCCATTAGAGGACCCCAACNTAAAAAAAAAAAAAAAAAGCCACCCTGAAACTATGCACCATAAGATTACCAGAAACTGGTGAGTAACAGAAACACTTAAGCTTGTCTTACAGATCAGCAGATAATGGAACATCTTGTTTTTAAAAACTCTCTGCTTATAGCCTGCCTTCAATGAGCAAGTTTCCTTAATTATTTCTTGCAGAATGGATACTCTTCAAGCTTCACATAGCTTAGGAACTTAAGAGTCAGTTCTTGCCCAATTTGAGTCAGCTTGACTATTCAGGACCACCAACCCTAAAATTGTGCATGTACAAGTGTCCAGTGGGTGACCTTTTGACTTCAAAAGGCCACAAACTTAACCATATAATCATGCTAAACTGCCTCCACTTATGAACATGTATCCCATGAAGAAGAATGTAACTCGGATACATCTACACAGAAGACCAGTTACCTCACCTTTTCCACACCTCTGATCACCTTTTCCCATGCAAGACCACCCTACTTTTTTATCCCATAAACATCCAAAGCCCCACACTTTCAGGAAGCTGGATTTGAGATTTATTTTCCCAGCTCTGAGATTTAGTCTCTGTTGCAAACCTCAGCATCTTAGTGTTTGGTTTCCGACATATCAGGCAAATGATTCTGTAACAAAGTTGGTAATCAGTCAGGAGGTATGTGCAGATGGACTTTTTGCCCATAGTTTATTAGTGGCTTTCTGGTATTGAGCAAGCAAGCTCTATGAGCCCAACAGATGGATAAGCCCAAGCAGCTGCCTGGTCCACTGGGTCCAGGGACCACTCCCTGGACTTCCGCGGGCATGGGGCCATTGACCTTTGGCACATAATTTTGCTTTACAGCTAAGAAATAATTTGTGGGTCTGAAAGACACTTTTGGGTGGGTAAGCTCAGTAAAATTTACCAGGGAAGACCCATTAAAAATTACCTATGCCTAAACTGTCTAAATCATGAGTTAGAGGTCCTGCTGGTGGGAATTCGGCAGAATCATGGGATAGAGGTACACACTAATAGATACAAAATGTTTTAGGTACTGAGATAATCTAAACCTGGATTAATATCCTGAGCTTCTGGCTTCTAGTTTTATTTTTGGCCCTATTTGTCTTGTCTATGTCTGATCACCTTATTTGTTAATAATTGGCTATATAGGGGCTAAGAAATTGGAAAGATTTGCATTGTATACTAAAATAAAGCTAAAAGAAAATGGGATATTTGGCTTGTAAAGCCTACAGCTCTCAGACAGGCATTGACCTACTGGAATTCCAGTTGATTCATGAACATGGAGCCAATTGGTATGGAACCAGTATTTGCAAGTACTTATTTAACTGAGAACTGAAGGAAACCTTACTCTAAAATGGCCAAGATGGGAGGGGATCCTTTGACATTTAAATACTTGGATTTTTTGCATATGCCATTAAAGAAGCTGCCTTGATAAAATATCTTTTCAAAATTCTGATCCTGAAGGAAGAAAAACATTCCTAGGAAAAGGCTTAAAGTTATCACCCTATCATGTTGTTGAAATGCAAACACAGTCCACAAAGCCAGAGATTCAGTTCAGTTCAATTGCTCAGTCTTATCTGACTCTTTGCAACTCCATGGACTGCAGCAGGCCAGGCCTCCATGTCCATCATCAATTCCCAGAGTTTACTCAAATTACTGTCCATTGACGGTGATGCCATCCAAACATCTCATCCTCTGTTGTCCCCTTCCCCGCCTGCCTTCAATCTTTCCCACAATCAGGGTCTTTTCTAATGAGACAGTTCTTTGCATCCGGTGGCCAAAGCTTCAGCATCAGTCCTTCCAATGAACACCCAGGACTGATCTCCTTTAGGATGCACTGGTTGGATCTCCTTGCCGTCCGAGGGACTCTCTAGAGTCCTCTCCAACACCACAGTTTGAAAGCATCAACTCTTTGGTGCTCAGTTTTCTTTACGGTCAAACTCTCACATCCATACATGACTACATAGCTTTGACTAGATGGACCTTTGTCGGCGAAGTAACATCTCTGCACTGAATACAGCAGTTCTCGGAGCCACAGCATGCTAGGATAAGGAAAGAGGTCGCCATTACCACCATTACCCCTACCATAGTTTGGCCTCATGCCAAACTACAGGGAGGGAATACAGCCTCACCCATCAACAGAAAATTGGATTAAAAATGTACTGAGCACATTAAAAGTTTACCCCAAGGCCCAGATTCCCCCACAGCCAGTCCCTAACATTAGGATACTTCCACAAGCCTCTTATCCTTGTCCATCAAAGGCACACAGAATGAAAACCACAATCACAGAAAACTAACCAAACTGATCACATGGATCACAGCCTTGTCTAACTCAATGAAACTATGAGCCATGCCACCCAAGACAGATGGGTCATGGTGGAGAGTTCTGACAAAACGTGATCCACTGGAGAAGGGAATGGCAAGCCATTTCAGTCTTCTTGCCTTGAGATCCCTGTGAACAGTATGAAAAGAGAGGAAAATACAGGCACATTATAAAGAGGACCTACTATGCTGCCAAATACAAGGCTATATTATTACTCACCATCATCCTGCTAATAGCATACCTAGTTAAGAATATTAAGGCTCATCTCCCCATTCATCCCACTCTCCCCTTCCCTGCCAAGTCCACATGCCCATCCTCTGGTCTGCATCTCTATTCCTGATAGCTGCTGGGAGCCTGCTGTATAGCGCAGGGAGCTCAGCTTGGTGCTCTGTGATGACCCAGCTAGGCAGGGTGGGGAGGTGGAAGGGAAGTCCATGGCAGACATATGTATACATCGAGCTGATTCACTCTGTTATACAGCAGAAACTAATGCAGCATTGTAAAGAAATTATACTCCAATAAAAATAAGTAAATAAAAAATTTAAAGCAAATATATATGTATATATACATACACATATACTATATATATATATATACACATATATGTGTATATACTAAGGTTCAGGGACCTTAAGTTCAAACACAGAAAACAAAACAAAAAAGAAACTGATCTGAAGCCACAGAGTGTGATCTCAAAACCTAGTTTCTTTCCCCACTCTGTGGAACCTCATTCTCTTTTCCTCCAAGTCAGAATTTTATGTCTATGTGGAAACAGTTCAACACCTATTCTAGCAGCCAACCTGTATTCCAAGCCCCCACACCTCAAAAGCAAAACAAAGGTGCCTCCCCGTTCCTACCCACTCCAAATTCCTAACCTCACTCCCACTCACTTCAAACACCTCCTTTTTCCCTCGATGCTGGCCTCCAAGGTGCAGGGGTGAGCCTCCCAATTAGGGGGGTGTGTCCGCNTTCACTCTTGCCATCTCCTGTTTGACCACTTCCAATTTGCCTTGATTCATGGACCTAACATTCCAGGTTCCTATGCAATATTGCTCTTTACAGCATCGGACCTTGCTTCTATCACCAGTCACATCCACACCTGGGTATTGTTTTTGCTTTGGCTCCATCCCTTCATTCTTTCTGAAGCTATTTCTCCACTGATCTCTAGTAGCATATTGGGGACCTACCGACCTGGGGAGTCCCTCTTTCAGTATCCTATCATTTTGCCTTTTCATACTGTTCATGGGGTTCTCAAGGCAAGAATACTGAAGTGGTTTGCCATTCCCTTCTCTAGTGGACCACATTCTGTCAGAGCTCTCCACCATGACCCGTCCGTCTTGGGTGGCCCCACACAGCATGGCTTAGTTTCATTGAGTTAGACAAGGCTGTGGTCCTGTGATAAGATTGGCTAGTTTTCTGTGATTATGGTTTTAGTGTGCCTGCCCTTTGATGCCCTCTCCCAACACCTACCGTCTTACTTGGGTTTCTCTTACCTTGGAGGTGGGCTATCTCTTCACGGCTGCTCCAGCAAAGCACAGCTGCTGCTCCTTACCTTGGACGAAGGATTAATTTTAGAATTTAAATCTGGACAGAGAAAGAGGGGTGGGGGAATGAAGAGGTCTTTTAAACTCAATGGAGGAAACAACTTATTCCAACTTTTTTGTTTCTATTGTTTTACAAACTGCTTTATACTGTAATACCTAATTAATGACTAAGTTTTTAAATGAAGGTGTGAGATCTCTAGGTATGTATGTGTGTACTTTATAAGTGTGACGTATCTTTACCTCTGGATGCTTTTAACAAAATGAATTTATAATTGAGCTCTACTTAACTGGCTTATAGGAAATCAATTGCTTATATAAATTCTCAGAGACATGGGGGAAAAAAACCTAACCTGAAGTTCATTCAGGTTCATGACAGCTGGTAAATATTGAGTATTAAATTCATATCTATTATTAATATTAGTTTAAGATTGATTCAATTAATGTAGGCATATCTTTACTGTCATCAACATTAAGTCCAATACTTTTATTGTATCTACTTTAACTAAAAGTTAAAATTAAATCCTTTCTGTTGCAAAATGTTTCTGCAAGAAAAATTTGATATTATGAAACTTTTAAGAAAATTAAATGTAAATGTCTCACAGACCTCAAACTAATGGTTACCAAAGGGGAACATGGAGGGGGGGGGGCGCGGGACTGATAAATTAGGAAATTAGAGTTAACATATACACACTACTATATATAAAATAGATAACAAGGACCTACTGTATAGCACAAAGAACTCTATTCAATATTCTTCAACAACTTATATGGGAAAAGAATCTGAAAAAGAATGATGTGTGTGTGTGTGCGTTTGTGTGTATGCATATGTGTGTGTGTGCGTGTGTATATATATATATATGATTGACAATGCTGTACATCTGAAATTAACACATCATAGTAAATCAACTATTCTCTGATAAATTGTTTTAACTAAATGTAAATGACATAAGAACCTTCTTGGTGAAATCTTTGGGAATAATGAGTTTGCTGCTCTGCTGCTCAAGTGCTCATCATATCCAACTCCTGGTGATCCCATGGACTGTAGCCAGTCAGGTTCCTCTGTCCATGGAATCTTCCAGGCAAGAACACAGGAGTGGGTCGCCATTTTCCATTTCACAGATCTTCCCAGTCCAGGGATCAAACCTGCATCTCTTATGTCTCCTGCATTGGCAAGATGGTTCTTTACTACTGCACCATTTGGGCAGCCCAATTATATTTTAGGCCTATCTATTTAAAAATACTCTCTCAAGATATTCAGTAATTTTAAAGTTTAGAGTTTTGCTAAATTATGTTCAATGATAGGAAGGCATTAAATATCCAGATCACTTCTCAATAAGATAAAATATGGCAACTTTAATTGCTAAACAAGCCTAAGTTTACCTACTTTTATCGTCTTATGAGAGAAATATTAAAGATACTTTGGGTTCATAGGATGTATGTCTTGTACCACATTGAGGAAAGAAACTATGCTAGGAGAAAATGTATGCTGCTAGAGGTGTAGAATATGTTCATAAGTTAGCCAATCAGGAAATTCTGCTATGTTCACAACTGCTTGATTCTTCGTTTTCACTAAAGACTAATATTTTTAAGAGATAAAAACTGTAAAATATATTTAATTAAACGGGCATGTTAAAAGACAGAAATGTTAAGGATCTAACAGAAGACGAAGGTATTAGGAAGGGGTGGCAAGAACACAGAAGAGCTATAAAAAAAAAAAAAAAAAAAAAGGNAACAGAAGAAGAAATTTTAAAATTCTAATGGAAACCCTGATGGTTTCATAAAAATGTTAACAAAATATTAAGTTCAATGATTAGATATATAGGGTGGAGTGATCTGATGAACATATGCTTATAACTTTTATCATTTTTATCTGAAATATTACTGGCTTTTAATCTATGTTTTCCAGATATAAGGGAAGCTTTCCCCTTAAGCTAATAATCAACTGAGGCAATCTGGTAAATTATACCTTTTTAAGTAAAGTTGAAGCCTTTATCTTTTCTATCCAATCCCTCCAGAATTGGGAAACTCTTTTACTATGTTTATTTTTATGGAAATAGTTATTTGAATGAGTTAAGTAAGAATTTGTTCTCCTTACAACAGGACACAGTTGAAAATATTGCTGATATTATCGTGGTTTTGACTGAAATGTCTTATTTGAAGAATACATAATCAAATATGATCCAACAGCTATAAGGAACTAAAGTGGACTCTATGGAACCATAAAGCCCCTTGAAAAAACAAACCTAGCTGAGTAACAGAAATTTAACGGTATATTTTCTGACTGCAGTGCAGTCAAGTTAGAAATCAATCATAATATGATAATCAGAAAACTCCACATTTCAGGAAATAAACACTGTATTTATTTAAAAATTATGGGTCAAAGGAAAATAAACACAATTAAAATCAGAAAAAAGTTTTAACTGGTGATGAAATTTCGCTAACTGGTGTTGCAAATGTTGGCCTGTCAAAAAAAGGTGTTGTGAACAAAAGTTTTGTGACTGGGAGGAACATAAACTGCATGAATACTAAATAAAAGTCAGCATTTTAACCAGAATCATTACCATAACCATGTCCCATGTATCTACAGATACTTTACATTTACTTCCAACAGTCAAGAGTAGCCAAATGCACATAAAAATTAAGTAGTATTTAGGAAAAGACTAAGACTCTGTTCCCCTGGGAAAAGGAAATGGTAACTCACTCCAGTATTCTTGCCTGGAAAATCCCACGGACAGAAGAGCCTGGCAGGCTACAGTTATGGGGTTGCAAGGAGTCCGACATGACTGACCAACTGAGCACAGGGAGAGGCTAATCAACATGATTTCCCTCCAACAACTTTTCTCTGGTTTCCAAACCCATACAATCAAAACTGTACTGAAATGTCCACCTGGACTTCTTACAGGCATCTCAACCTTATTATGTCCTAAACTGAACCCCCGACCTTTCCCCCACAAACCTACTGCTCTTATGTTCAGTCCCAACTTAGTACAGGGCACCACTGTTCACAGAGTTGCTTGAGGTAAAATCCAGGGCATGCCGCTCAGGACTGAGAAACGGAAATATGTCCTGCCATAAAAATAAAACTAGAAAACAAGACAGAATATATAGAGCACCCTTCCCATCTGCGGGGACTTCCAGAGAAGCCGAGGCATGAAACCTGCCCAGGGGCTGTAGGGCTTCGTGGGGCTTCTGGGACCCACTTAGGTGGAAGCCCTCGATTCTCAAGCGACCTCCCGGCAGCAGGGGTATAACGGCAGCTCCGGCTTCACCCGTGGTGAGCTGATAGGATACAGTGCCTCACTCAAGTATGCCGGCCAACTTAAAAGTGTTAACGTACCTTCCTCTTTCTGGAGATACTTAAGGAAAGCACGGAGCTGGACTCAACACTTATGTGGCTTCAAGGTCCCAAACCTAAATCTAGAATTCAGGGTAGAGAAGACCAACGTCTTTCAAGATGGCGGCCAGGCAGAACAAGGCCTAAGGTGGCAGTTGTGGGTAGGCGTGGCCAGGGGCGTGGCCTTAATGCCCAGTCAAGCACTAAGACTGAATCTAAAGTCAACCCCTAACCTTACAGTGCACCACACTTTAAATGTCTTTTAAGGTATACCATGTTTCCTTCTCTTCTTTTAAAAATAAACTTAATTTTCACCAGTCATTTAGTCTGAACTATTAACTATTTTTATAACCCACATAGTCACTGATTGTCTCTTCTTTTAAAATAATTTTTCTTGCTTTTTTTTCTTCTTCTTCACTGCAGGCTCTGTCACCTTGGACTTTTTGTGACCTCATGGACTATACCCCGCCAGGCTCCTCTGGGTCCACGGAATTTTCCAGGCAAGAATACTGGAGCAGGTTCCCATTTCCTCCTCCAAGGGATCGTGTTGACCGAGGAACGAATCTGTGTTATTTGCATCTCCTGCCCTGGCAGACGGATTCTTTACCACTGTGCCACCTGGGAAGCTTTTCTTCACTAACCTGCTTCAAAAATGGACTTGTTTTACAGAAAAAGAGACTCAGATGTATAGAACAGACTTGTGGACTCTGGGAGAAGGCGAGGGTGGGATGTTTCAAGAGAACAGCATNCAATTAGATCTTTTCTTTCTCTCCAGCTACATCTTCCCCCAACTCCCCTTCATCCTCATTCATATTGAAACTCCAGCAAAACCAAATCTCTTGTACTACTCTCCTATACCAATATGTACCTTTCTTCATGTTTTCCCTACTGCAAGGCTGACCCATTTCCCATCTCCAACTTTCACCCAGTTAACACTTCTTGTTGGTGTAAGACTCAGTTCAGGAAGTCTTTATTGATCATCACCACATATTCCTCACCAACAGATTCAGCTGAATACTTCCTCCTCTTATCTTATATGTCCCTTGAAATGGTTGCACCCACTGAGGTTAGGTAGCAATTAAAGGATTAAGAAATCTTTTGATATGATGATTTTCTGAAACTTCATTCTGATTTCTTCTTTAGACATCTTTTCCTCTTCTCTTATCAACAGAAAATGAAATAAACTCTGGAGGTTGGTCCCATGTTAGGGAAAATATAGGCCTGAAATTAAAAGATGCTTGCTCTTTGGAAGAAAAGCTATGACAAACCTAGACAGCATATAAAAAGTAAAGACATTACTTTGCCAGCAAAAGTCTGTATAGTCAAAGCTATGCTTTTTCCAGTAGTCATGTATGGATGTGAGAGCTGGACCATAAAGAAGGCTAAGAACTGATGCTTTTGAACTATGGTGTTGGAGAAGACTCTTGAGAGTCCCTTGGACTGCAAGGAGATCCAACCAGTCAATCCTAAAGGAAATCAGTCCTGAATATTCATTGGAAGGACTAATGCTGAAGCTAAAAGCTTCAATACTTTGGCCACCTGATGTGAAGAGCCAAATCATTAGGAACGACCCTGATTCTGGGAAAGATTGAAGGCACAAGGAGAAGGGGATGACAGAGGACAAGATGATTGGATGGCATCACCAACTCAATGGACTTGAGTTTGAGCAAGCTCCAGGAGATAGTGAAGGACAGGGGAGCCTGGTGTGCTGCAGTCCATGGGGTTGCAAACAGTCAGACAAGACTAAGCAACTAAACAACAACAACAAGGTCTGATCCTATCACTCCTGGTTTTAAAGCAGAAGCAAGACAAAATTAAAGCATGCTAAGCAGAATATAAAAAGGATACCAAAGAGTTTATCAAATAAGTCTAACCATCACATCTTTATTTCAGAGAACATAAGTACTCAATTTCTGTGGGAGTCTTCAAACTTGACTATAAAAAAGTCAATAAAGAAAGGTGACTTGGTGACATGATGTAACAAAAGAGACCACAGGCTCCCACTGCTATTTGGGAAATATTTTCTCCCAGCTTTACTGTCACAAAAGAACTGACTCAATTTTATAGAATCATTATTCACCCAATTAAACTTTTATTTTGTAATGAATATTGTTCAAAGTCTAGTGGACCATGTATGATCCTACACAAAATATATGATGAACTCATAAAAGTTTATGCTGGAAGAACTCGATTATCTTTTCAAGACACTCTCAAACCTGCAAACAAAGATTGTCAGTCATTCTTTTAAAACTCCACCCTCCTGTAGAATAGGGGCTCTGAGTCAAACAGTTTCCATAATGAGCAAGCCAACCTGATAAAGTTTTTTCTAGTGATCATTGTCACACTATCATCTTGGGGGGAATTCTACTAAAAACAAAGTAAGAGAGTTTGCATTTGCTATTTTCCATAAAGCCTGTTTCATATACTTTACAAATATATGTACACACGCGCACACATTGTCATGTGCTATTTAAACATCAAGGATAGCACACTGTCACATAGGCCTTTCTGTACAGGAGTGGTTTATCAGAAAAATGTAAGCACCTAGTAATATTACAAAAACACAGTCAATTCCTAACTTGCCCTGCAGCCTACAGGCTAGGCAATATCAATCCCGACCATTTTTTGTAACTTTCTAATTATTGTAAGAGCAATTCTATCATTCACTGCTTGGACTAATAGATGACTTACGAGTTGTTTTAAATATCAGTTACTTAAATCTGCAAAATAATAAAATTGACACAAAAAAAAGGATAAACCTGAGACCTATAGATACCTCACCTCACCAGCTGAGTGCCAGCCTCTGATTTATCTTTCTAGGCAGTATGCTGGGCAGTATGCCAGACCAGTCAACTGTACAGCAATGTATCAAGCCCAAAGGCTGTATGTTATCTTCACTAAATACATATGGTATTCCTAGTTTAAACACTACTCTTTTTACTAAAAGTAATGAATCTTCTCATGTTTCAATAAAAGCTCACTGAAATTAGTACTTTTTGCTTTTAATATACCTAGAAGAAGAACTGAACAGCAAGCCTGAAAGAGCTACTGAATGGTAATATTAGAATTTAACCCCTTAACAACATGACAAGAAAAGCAAGAGAATCCCATGCTTTTATACAGAGTATCCTCAAGTAGCCTGAAGTGGATATAGGCTGTTAACAATGTTGATTGATCTTTGATTCTGTGAACAGAAAAGCAGTTATTGGCCAAGATGCTTAAGCATAACTGAGACTGCTAGTTGTTATTCTTGTATAAAATCTCCATTTGAGTGCCTGTTAAAATCAAGACATAAAGTCTGACAAACCAGGTAATTCCAAGCATTATAAAATAGGTCTATATTTGCTATGTGTTAGCAATTGTGTTAAATGCTTTGCACATCCTATTTTATTTCCTCAGAGTCTTAGATTTAGATACTATCTAAACCTCCATTTGAGTGCCTGTTAAAATCAAGACATAAAGTCTGACAAACCAGGTAATTCCAAGCATTATAAAATAGGTCTATATTTGCTATGTGTTAGCAATTGTGTTAAATGCTTTGCACATCCTATTTTATTTCCTCAGAGTCTTAGATTTAGATACTATCCTTTTTCTCATTTCACAGATCTAGAAACTGAAGCTCAGAAAGGTTAAGTAGCTTCTCCACAGTCACACATACCTCTGACAGAGCCAAAAATTAACCCAGCCCATCTGATTCCAATTACACTATGCTACACTGTTTCCTTAGACCTGGGCTCTCCAATTAGTGGCTATTTAAGTTTTAATTAATAAAATTAAATAAAATGTAAAAGAAATCCTCATTCATTAACCACATTTCAAGTATTTAATGTACTGAACAACACAGGTAGAGAATCCATTACTTCAGAAAGCTTATCAGATAGTTACAATTTGGAGTCACAGGTAACTGGGGTGCGCTTCCTCTTTTCTGATCATGAGGATTACAAAGCATACCTTGTTACTTTAACTTCTAGGAGGTTCAATTCTAAAGTTTAAGCTCAAGTATAGCAATATTTTAGCCCCTGTAATCAACCTATGTCTGCTTATCTTGCCCTTATTTCAAAGTTTCCAAAGGAACTTTTTTGTTCCTTTCCAAACATCCTTGCTGCAGGTTTTCTTAAACCATTTGAGTGGAAGGGGCAGGATATAAATATAAATAAATTAAAATAAGGACATAAACAAATAAATAAAAAATAATGATCTGAGCTCTACATGACCTTCCTGGTATAATATGCAGAACAGGACTCATGATGAACCACCTATATGCTATCTACAACAAACTCACTTCAAATGTAACAGTACGGGTTGGAGTAAAGTAAATGAATGGAAAAGTGATATCATGGCAACATGACTCAAATGAAAGCAGAGGAGGCTGCATTCATGCCAAAGAAATTATATTTCAGAGCAAAGATAATTACTAAAAACACAGAAGGGCATTATATAATGATGAAAGGATCAATCCACAAATAAGACACAGCAACCCTAAATTTGTGTGCAGCAGGCAACAGAATTGCAAAGTATATGAATGGAAAACTGATAGAAGTGAAATGCAAAATAGACCCACAACAGTTCAAGTCTTCATTATCAAAGTCTCAAAAATTTATAGGACAATTACGTTGAAAATCAACAAATACTTAAGAGGAATTCAATAAGAACATCAACCGATAGGATCCAACTGATATTTATAGAATAATCCACCCAACATCATCAGTATGTACACGCATTTCAAGCGCTTATGGAACATACACCAAAACACACCATATTCTAGGCCTTAAAACAGACCCTGTTTTAAAGGAATTTAAATCATACACAATGTGTTCTGTGATACAGTGGAATCAAACTAGAAATCATAATAGTTAGATAACATGAAAATCCACAAATATTTGGAAATTTAACCATACACTGTTAAATAACCTGTGGGTCAAGGACCAAGTCTTAAGGTAAATTTTAAAGATACAATGAACTGGAAGATGGTGGAATAGGCGGATGTGGGGGTCATTGCTCCTCATAAGTATATCAAGAATATATGTACAAATGGAACAATTCTCTCAGAGCACCTACTGAACATTAGTGAAAGACTCTGAACACATAAAAGGACAAAAAAAAAATCCTCTAGTTACTGGGTAGGATGAAAGGGAAAAAAAAAAAAAGAGGAATCAAAAAAG